GCTAAGAATGTACAAATAGTTCGTCTTTTGTGAGGATTGTCTAATTGTTTAACGTACGATTATAAAACATACTCTCTGTGTTATTTAATGAAAACTCTTGTGTTTCAGAAGTTGAATAACACATTTTTTGTTTTCTCATTACACCAGTTACTTCCACTGCAGAAGAGAATATGGAATACAGTCCACTTACCATCTGAAAACAGAGAAAAATTTCTAGATATTTTCATGAACATTTTAAAACAAAAATAATACGATATAAATATAAAAGGTATCAATCAATGAAATTATAAATATTACCCGTATTAAAAAATCTCTTTTAATATAGAAAAATCCTGCCATGGATAAACCCATTTGTGCTCCGAATCTCTTCATGAAACATACCACCTGAAAAATATTTAGCATTATATCAGAACAAAATAATTCTCTAGTTAATGAACGTATTATTAAAACATTCATCCAATTTATACAATTAATTTTAAAATATTATATAATATGACATATATATATATAATACTATATATACCTTGAATTTGAATTTTAAAGAGAGATTTTGAGAATAAAACCTTTCAATTGAGATATAGTTGCTGTACAGCTAGAAAATAAAATTCTAATTAATATTTTGAAAAAATATTGCCAAGTCAGCTTGACTTTTAACAATAAATATAATACTAAATTTTAGTATTTTTATTAAAAATTAATTATTATTAAAAAAGAGTTTTAAACATTCTTTCAAAAAAGACAAAGTCTTTTGATTAAATTCATACATGTATACACGGACAATAATACAATCATGTATATTCTCACACACATTAAAGAATAGAAAATTAGGAATTAAATTTTCAAATAAAATCTCTATAATTTTATCCTGATATAAATCATATAAGACGTGATTGTTCCTTTATCAAGCATTACAGAGAATATATGTAATTAATAGTTTGGGTGTATGTCGAAGTCAGCTGTGTTGGAGCCCCTAGTGAATATGTTACAGTAACGTGCCCACCAGTGGCCAAGTGGACTTTGTACCCTGAACACAGCGAGTTCGGTCGTGGGTTCGCACCTCGCTCGGACGCGCTGGCCACATAGAATTTTCCGGGTTTTCTCCACGTCCGTGACGCCTAATTAGGGGCCAGTTTCCCTTAAAAAAGATCTCCCGGAAGGCATCATCCTTAGGAGCGAAGGCAACTCACTTGTCAGACCGCAGAACTGTGAAAACATGGCCGACCATGAGGATACATAGACTCTCGCAATTTGTGTCCAAAATAATGAATCATACTAAAAATTTTATAGTCTTGTAAAAAGGTTTTTTATTTGCCTTTTCTAAGTAATAAAGACGTTAATGTTCATTTTTTTTCTTAAATGTGATAAGGAAATTCTAAATAAATAGACCTATACCGAATGGAATGAAGTAGCGCCCTCTATTAAACAATGCGAATTTTAACATTATTAAAAATAAAATTACTAACATTTGTATATATAAGAATATTACGATTAATGCTAGTAATAAAACTATTAGAATAAAAAAATTAAGTAATAAATACTACAATGTGATATATAGTACTTTTATCTATTGAGGAAGAAAAGATATGATGCCACAAATAAAGAGATTTTTATTATATTGATAATAGCGATAAAATATATAATAATAAGTGAGAGTATTATTATATATTTGTATTATATATTTACTTAAATCAAGCAGAAAATATCAACTAAGTAAGATAGCAAAATTTTATCTGAAATGTTTCACTTTATATTAAAAAATTCAATTATGTATGATAGTTAATGTAAAAATTATTTACCAACGATGTGAAGTACGACAATGCCCATGATACAAAAAGACATCCAGCAAAACAAATTACTGCAAGAGAAGTAATCAAAACTCGAATAGTTAATTCAATATCGTAGAATATAGCCATGAAACAGAATAGACATGTTTCATAAAGAAAATGAATGTAAATCAAAGGGATTAGCACATTCCATTTTTCATTTAATCTTTCCAAAAATTCCCATATTTCTGTGTGTTTTTCACAAAAATCCTGTAATTGTTTTCTCAAATTCTTAGAATCTGGTCGAATTTTATTTAATTCTTTCATTAAATTTGACATTCTTTTGATACCTACATGCCCAGCAACGATGAAAATTAAAAGTATTGATGATATATGTCCAGCAAAATACAGAGTCATTAATGAAAAAAACAATGTACAATAGCATGCTTCGAAGTCACTTCCGTTTTGCTTTTTTATTGATGAATATACCACTATTATCCAAACATTTAAGATTATCAGAATGATAAAGAATGCGATAACTAAATACCATAACAAGTACAGTTCAATTTCTTCAGCCAGTTTCCTTTCTTCTTTGTGTACGTTTTTCATGACATGTGCGTTAACTTTGTTTCTTCTCAGTATTGAATATTGTAGTGCTACATATGAATTCATAATAAATAATAGTAAAGCTGCATGCGTCGAGTATTTACCAAGTAGGTTATATCCTCTTTGGCATAATGTGTTTTTATAAAATATGTGTAAAAGTAAACGGAATGTTGAAAACCAAAGAAATGCTTCTACAAAAGTTTCATAAAGCTGATACATTCTAGTCAACAAATGTTGATATTTTGTCTGTTTTTTCAGAAACTGAAGGCACTCGCATTCTTCAATCATATCGAGTCCAAATGCTTTTGTGGCAGATGTAATAGGATAAAAGTTATACGCAAAGCAGCAGTCAGATCGTGTCCATGTAGAAAAGACGTGCTGTTCGTTATTGAAAAGTTTAGATAAATTAGGTAAACGGTTATTAAATTTTGAAAGGAATCTGTTCATTTTTACAATGTTCTCTTATTTCTCTTTATGATGATAAGTAATAATATTATCTTACAGTAAATGTAAAAAAAAAAAAATTGTACAAATTATAAATTCATCCTACACTGGTTTTAAGTTTTACCAGACCTTTACTTGTTCTCAACAATACAAATGTATTCAATTCTCTGTAGTTGTAAATGACTTGTGTATTCTATATTAAATCCTTCTCAAAAAATATTTACAACGACAGTATTTACCAATCAGCATTGCGTTTACTATATATTCAAAATGAAGTTTGTCTATTAGAATAAATGTTTACTTTATTACTCATCCAAATCGATGATTAAATTTTATATAAGTATTAAATACAACTTGGTAATGTTTTATACCAATTGTAATTTTACAATTGGAATAAAAGATTTCCAATATTTGATTCAATTACATTTTCAGTTATTGCCTTCTAGATATTGCTTTTATATAATGTTTCAAAATGCATTATTAATTTTAAATATAATTGATCTTCGTAATATTACATTACATAGAATGCAATTACGTATTTAATTTTATTGATTATTGACATTATTCTTTTTAAAAATAAAGTCATTTTCTCATTATATTAAGAGCCATCTCGTATACAAGTGGATAAGATAACTAAAAACTGGTAGATGATCGCCGGTTCTATCCTCGCGAATGGGCTGTCCATCTGAAGTATTTTCCCTGTTTTTTGCGTGACAAACAATTTAAATAGTGACCAGTTTTCCCATTTCATAAGTATTATAATATGTTGATTTTACCTTTCAATTATGGTAATATCGATATGTACCAAAAGTGTCATAAAAATTAGTATAGTATTATTTATATATTAACTTAAGTTTTATTGATATTTCTGTTATTACAATCTTAAAGATGTGAGAAGAAAAATTTTTCTGTAATATTTATCATTTTAAATTATTTAACACAGGGGTCGCCAAAGTGGTTGATATCGACCCCCAGGGGTCGATGTAACATCATTGGGGGGGTCGATGCGGCTAAGGTGTCACTACTTTTTCTATGCTTATACACAGACCACAACGTTTTTTTTTTTTTTTTTTTGCTCATTCACATACACTTGTAATAAAACTTTACGGTGGGGGTCAATGTGAGGCTTTGGAAAGTGATTGGGGGTCGACGGTTAAAAAAGTTTGGCGACCCCTGATTTAACACTTTTAAACCTTTAACACTATCAGTTTTTCACTCGAATATAGATTTATTCTTCGTTGCATTTTAAAAAGGAAATGGTGAAGGAAGAAAAAAGTAGGAAAGGTAAAAGAAAAAACGAAAAAACCTACGAGTGTACGTCTCTTTCGCCTTTTTCTCCAAAGTTAAAAAGTAAATAAACCTACTTTAATAAGTAGAAAGTATTATTTTGTAAGTCAAAACACGTGCATGATTTACGATCAATAATCAAACGTGACATTTAATCTAAGAAATTCTAATCTGCAAACAATTTTACATTTAGATTTGAAAATTGGAATTTTCAAGTTATTTATTAATGAAATTCTCTACTCGTACATTTAAGCCGTACAATGTCGTATGATTTGGAAGAACTTCTTAAAAATTAAATCGGATAATTTACACTGCATTTCTAATGTATTGCATTCCTAATGTACACATTAGAAATGCAAATCAAATGATTAATAGAGCAGTTTTAAGAGAATGCAGAATTATAAATGGATGTGAAAAGTATTCTGTTATTAATTAGGAAATGAGAGAAGATTTGACTGTAAAATTTACAATTTTTTTTTTGTATATCAAGAATTACTTTGAAATAGTTAATGCCTTTTTAGAACAGAGAAATGAATCAGCATGTAATTGAAAATGGGAACAAAGCTGCCAGACTTATTTATGATCGAAATTTAATTAACGTTGAAACGGAATTTAATTTCGTTTCAAATTCGACAAGATTAAGTTTTGTAATATCTGTAGACGTAATTTTGAATTTGTAATAACGTGGCAAATAGTAATACTTTAAACAAATGAAAACCTTATTATAATATTAATATTGTTTAACATTTTTAGAGAAATCTAATATAAAGTTTATATATTTCATATAAAAAAGACTAATTAAAGTGAGTGATTATAGTAAACTTACAGCAAAATTCCAATATATTGTTAAGTAATATTTATTTTCAAAAATTTTTTTTTTATAAATTTTAAAATACACAGTTTCTTTTGTTAAAAACACAAAATACATACATAAAGATATTTAATTACTTGGTATTTTTCTTTGTAGCATTAAAGTTTAATTGCTTATACATAAAAAATACTTCTCACTGCGATGATATTCAATTTTTCCAACATAACTTATCATAATATTATTATTTACATGGCATACATCATCGTGTGGTCGCCAAAATTTGCATGTTCCTTGCGATGCTAAGGAATATAATACAAAATTTTATAAATTTTTCAATAATCTTATGAATTAAGTAAATTAATTAAAATAAAATAGACTTACTCCCAATAGCAATTTCATTATCGTGTGGACACCATGACATACATGTATTGTATTCATGACTACTAGAATTATCTAAAGTATAAACTGCTTTTTCAACATTTCTTATATCGGTTACTCCAACCTGTTTCGAAATTGAGAGCAGTTACTTTTCATAAATTAATATAGATTATGATTAAAATTACTTACACTTGTGGGATATAAATATGCAACATAATTTGAATTAAAGTCAGAACATCTTACATCCAATACCGGGCTATCAAAATATCGTAATCCTCCATATTTTGGAGTTCTGATATCACAGAAATATTTTTCATAGTATGTATTGTGAGTTATGAAGCAATCTAGCAAATTATTGTTGTAAAAACATAGTTTCCAATTGCGATTTCTCTCATTTTGAATTAAAGATGTTTCTTTATAACAAGAAGTTCTCGATAGTCCATATATTTGACTTTCGCTCTGTAAAAGTTACAGAAATAAAACAAACAAAATAATCAATATGAATATATTACGAAAGAAATAAAACTCACTTCTATGGACCAAATTACACATTCACCATTTTTAAATAGTGTACCTATGTAAATGGGATTCCAATAACTCCATTCACAATACGTTAAAGGATTGTTTTCATTTCTCTATATAAATAAAAGATATAAATGATAATCTAAACCTTGCAAGAATTTGACTATAAAGCATTGTATTCAGAACATAAAATAAATCTTTTTATGGTTTAAAATAGTCAAACTCGTGGAAAAATTTGAGATGGAAAAGAGATAGAGTTGGGCTTTGTTTGATGAAATATAACAAGCAGCTTTCCCCTCTGAATACATGCTTACGAGTTCCTCCAGTATACACTGTACAACACTTTAAACCGAAAAGCATGTACAATAAGATAAAGATTATTATTCTAAGAGAATGGAAGTTACTCACGTGGTTAGCACTCCATCGAGTGAATAGTGTCGAGTTAAGTTCTTCGAAAAGATATAGATCGTCACTTATCACTAAAAAATATTCTGGATACTTCATATATGGATCTGGGATCCACGTACATCTCTTTACCTTTGCCAGAAATTCATGGCGTGCTAATGGATGAAGTCTCGTTTCACTATTACACCCTACAGTTTCTACCTAATGATTGAAAATAAATAAATAAACATTAATTCTAGGAATAGCATATCGAAATAGATATACTTACATAATGTCTCTCTGAATCTGAATGACCAAAAGTGCACTTTATACCGTTTCTAAAGTTGCACGCTAAGTTGGATGTTAAATTAGGAACAGTAACGTCGGATACTTTTAGTAGTGTAGTTGTTGAGATACTTTTGTGCACTAATTGGATTATATGATTGTAAAGCATTGCTACACCATTCTGTGTTTGCCTTTGCCTTTGTACTTCTTTATCCTTCCTTGCATTGTTAGAAATGGATGGAAAATATCGTGTAAAATCCATTCACAAACCAATTTTCTGTAACTTAATTTCTATTAAAAATTACTATAAAATTATATAAAAGCGTTTAATTACAACGAAGTAAATTATTTTTACCGAATTCCAAAAGGTAAGCCTGTTATTCTTTAACAGAAAGGCGATCGTCATAACGTCCTCTACCACATAATTAATTTACATAATAGTCACGTAAAAAAAAATGAATATTTTAAACTAAAAAATTTTAAATAGTTAATTTAAATTATTTAAAATTAAATTTGTTTAATTATAAAAATAATTAAATTTTTTTTAATGTTTAAATGAACACTTCACGACGATTTTACTTCTGTTCTGCCATTACCATGGTAATGAAGGCGCTTTGCTTTTCAGAGTAGATAGATCCCAGGCTTTCCGGGTTAGATTCATGTCTGTAGCATCTGAATTTGGTCCAGTTACCTTTAAAAGGCCTCCCGGAAGGCATTATTCCCCGCTTAATGTAACCATCATAAACGCATACTACTATTATATTATTACATGACAATTACATCACATTTCAGCACGGGGTAATTTAGTCTGGAAGCTCATGCTCAACTAGCCGATAAAAGATAAGACAAAACTAGGACCAAGACTCTTTTGCATACTACTTACAATTTAATGTTACTATTTATAAGCTAGAAGACTTATAATACTTGTAGCTTGTTACTGGTTGTAAGTGATTTTAAGCAATTATAATTGTTCACGACTAACAGCTTTCAACTTGTAAGAAAAATTTTCATTTCACACACTTTGCTTGTAAGTTGTAACTTCTGAAGCTCTTAAGAACGTAAGCAATCGACCCCAGATATTCGACTTTGTATTGTTGGTGTGCATATATTATTATTACACTTCGTGTCGTAATACAAAAATTTTAATGTTTATTTTATTTATTGCCTTAATTTATTCTCCAGCTGGCAACATTTAATTTTTTACCTTTTTTTTTATAAAGCGATACGCTGTATTGGTTATAATAAAAGTTCTTTCTCAATATCTCTTTTGTGTTTACTTTACAAATGCAAGCTTCTTACCACGCATTTAACAGGAATAAATCAACGCAAAACCTGCAGGGGTGCCTCGTGGAGAGATTTTATTTCAAAGTAGCTTATACTCAGATATTAAACAGGGCGAACACTGCGTGGTTATGTTGGATAACAGTGGTTAACGAATCGCACTGTTGCTCCATGTTGCTGGTAGAGAGAACGAACACTACACCGTGTTTTCTTCTAGAAATGCAGCATGTGGTGACAAACATTTTTATGTATAACTGGTATTTATACAAAACTTAACAATAAACTTCGCATACTATCTGTACTATTATAAAAATATACTTGCCTTTATGAAAATTGTCTCTATAACACGTGTGTTATCGATAACACACACAAAAATACTGTATACAAGTTTAATATATATTTAGTACAATAAATATAACCGATGTTTCTGTACACATAAAGCAAAATGATATTATACTGTACTGTATCTTCATAAAAAACTATGGATGCCATCACTTTCCGTTAGTGTCAAATTTATTATTTGTTTAATTTTTTTCTACATAACTGATGTACTCTATGAATAAAATATCTTCCTAATCATTTCACATTAGAACTTTTAATATCGTTTTGATTCTGTTAAGTTTACAACAGCAATTCCGAAACAGTGGCAGGAGTATCTCTAAGGCAACACAAGAAGGTTCGGTTAGAGCTACAAGTCTATACACAGAAGTGTCGGATGGGACGCGTATGAGAAAGGTTGAAAGCCGCTGCTCGAGTCCGTAACAATCAATCATTTCTCGTGAAACATGTGTCATATGACTCCCTCACCATTTTCATTTTTTGAGTGGTATCTAAGAATGCAGCCTTCAAATAGGCCACCGAGTTGCTACTGTTTTCCAACAGAATTTTCTCCTCCTTCTTACCAACGACGATTGAAAACAATTGCCTCATACATAGTTGCTTTCAATCGTCGTTTACACTCTTTAGCGGTTGATCCTAACGTTTTGGTCTCGTATTGTCAAACAACTTATAATAGAATATTTAGTGCTGCTCATATTACTCTGTCCAAAAACATGCTGTTCTCGATAAATAGGTTTCAGAATGAACCAGTTTTTATTTCACAGCAAAAACATGACAATCATAGTCTTGTCAGAAAATTTTCATTATGTCAGACAGTTTTCATAGAGCGCTACCTGCCATTATGTCTGAGAGTACTTAAACGTGAAGAATAGAGCCGTAGCAGCAGTAAAAGCATAGATGTTGCTATCCTTCATTCACGTATAGCAGGAAATGCAATATAGAATTACACTTCCAGAGTGACCTAGAAAAATCACATTAATTAGTTGTTAGCATATAAATTGCACGAACGTTTCATGTATACACAATAATAGGCATATGTTTAATGTATACACAATAGAAGGCAACATGTTAATTTTATACAGAATAATAGAATGTTGAAATAAAAATGATGTTAGTCGAAAAAAAATTATGATATTCGTATGAACTGTTAGTGTTCCTGCATAGATATCAATGTATAATACAGCTTAAGTTTATAAATCACACTCAAATATATATATTTAAATATTTTTTTCAAAATTCCTAATGTCAAAAGCACATTATAAAAAAGATTTTACTACTTGTTTTATTGTAATTTAAAATAACGTCTCCGAAGCAATTCAAGATCGATGTATTTATACATCTAATATATATACGTTAAAAACAGTAATATAATTAAAAAATAAATTTATTGAACTATCCTTTTACATAAAATTTATTTTAAAAGTTTAAAAACATTATGATATAGAAACGTATCAAAATTTATATAATATATTATTAAAAATTACTAATTTATTGCGTAGTTAAACATTTAAAATTATCAAATCAATACAAGATCTCTTTCCATTTATCATTTTTAAATAGTATGCAGTAGTATAAAATTAAAGCTACATTTTAAAATAGAATATGACATTAATGACAAACAAACAAAACGTCTTTTTCTTCATGATAATATTCGATCGTGTGAATGTATCCAAAACCGCTGTTCACTTTGAAAAGTTCGTGTTTTCTCGGACTCCATAATAAGACTTTTCCTTTTTCAGCTGTTTAAAAATATGTATTGACATTTTTAAAAAGTTCAATAAATAAACAAAACTCCTATTTAAAAAGTAATTAATTGTTCATACTTCCAATTGCTATCTCATCATATAAAGACCATGAAAAACAACTTGCATCTTCAAGTGGATCAAAAGAAGACATTGAAGCAATTACTGTAGTAGGATATCTGACATCTATTAATGAAATCTGAAAAAAATATTATTTAAAAATTAATTATTTATCATAAAAAATTTAAGTGTATTTAAGTTAATTTACATTTTTCCTTTCGGCACATGCAACAATCCAAGGGCTATTAGTTGAGCATTTAACCCTAAAAATTCTATTCTCGAAATTGTATACGCGAAAACTTGAGGGAGATCTTACATCATTTAAAAGATTCACTTTGTTGTCACTATATGTCAAAAAGCAATGCTTGAAACTACCTTGATAAAAACACATTCCTACATTAGTGTTAACATTATTCCAATTTGGATTATAAAAGTGTTGAAGGTCGAAAGTAATGACTTCGTTTTTTCTTTCTAGTGACCATATATTGCAGGAACCATTCAACTGCACACTGCATATATACTGAGGATCATGAGAACACCATCCACAGGAAACTATTGGATTATTTCGATGATTATTTCCAAATTCTCCCCTGAAAATTAAACTCGAGTCCATATCTTCATATAAACGTAAAGTTTCACTAGCAACCAGAAGATACTCAGGAAGATTTCCATATATATCTGGAATCCATAAAACATTACCTCTTTCAGCGGATTTCTCAACTGAATATAATTGTCTAAGATTCATTTCATCGTCACAATATAATGTTTGAATGGCATGTTTTCGTTTATCAGTAACACCAAAAGAACATTTAACATTACGTCTAAAATTACAGCTGAGTTCACTCGTAACATACGGTACGTCAATGCTATTTATTATATTTACACTTGGTTCTTCTTCAATTTTTTTGTAGATACGAAGCAGAGCAACACTGTCAAGTAGATCAAAATCCTTAGTATTATCAAATTGACTTTTCGTTCGATTGTAAGAAGTACACTCTTCTTCACTTTCTGATGTTCTTTCCGAAGAACAATTCATTTTTAAAACTATAATATGTTTATTTTTTTCTGCTTTAAAAATATTGTAAATTTTGAAGAATAACTTCTAAAATTTCTGTTCAGTACACAACAGAAAGTTGTGTACTGAACAGTACACAACTTGAGAAATTTAATACTTGAGAAGTTTAAACTTTTTCTACGCTACTTGTAGGCAAAATCTCTTGCATTCGTTCACTTTTTCCAGGACTTCATTCTTATAGGTCTAGCTTTATTTTCAGTTTTAGTCTCTTGATTCTGATGCAACTTCTTTGCTTATTTTAGGACCAAGTTCTATAAATACCCAAGTTTTGTATATTTATATCAGGAACTGCCATTACGGCAGCTTATAGAGAGAAATTCGCCAAATTGTCGACTGCACGTTCACTTTTCCTAGCTTATACCCTCGTTAGTATACCCTCGAGCCCCATTAATAAACGGCAGTACCGTATCCCGGAATGCTATTTAAGAAAGTTAAATGTTTCGACGGATTCGTATGTTAAAGACAGGTTAGATACCATACGGAAGGCCGCATATGACTTAGGTAGGAAACGGAATTCCTATAACAGGGAACGTATTAACAACAAAAGAGGTTATTCTGATTGGAAAGTAGGACAAAAGGTATGGTTGTTGCAAAAAGAAAAAAATAATAGTCACGGGAAATTCTCGGTTAAGTATTTGGGCCCATATAGAATAACGCGTAAGCTAGGTCCGGTTACCATGGAAATCGGCGACGATCGGAAAAAGAACACCTGTATTGTGCACGTTGATAGACTAAAACCATGTTACTTCCCCATGTATGAGAATGGTAAGAGAAGAAGGATGAGAAAACCTCCCGATAGGAAAGGGGAGGAAGAACCAACTAA